CCCCACTACTGCTGCTTTATTTTTCCATAAAGTGATATGAATATAATGAGTTTATGGAACAGCTTCTTTAGGACAGAGGCTCACCGCAGACACTGACGGGGCGATTGTTGGGTGAGGCAATGGCATTCAATCAGATTTTACTGCTGTTAACTGTTTGAAAATGACAGATTTGCAAAGACACGACGAACCTTGAGATGAAGTTTGATGGGATATTTTTCATGGAAGGAACATTTTCAGTGATATGTGAGCTTAGTCACAGATCCAGGGACTTGTGCTTGTCAAACATAGCCTGTTCGGGTGCATGCGTCTGGTTTCGGTCTAAAATCATATATAAAATAGAATTTTTTTTATGTGAATTTATTGTGTTGTGGGTGTTTTGGATTGTTTTTTCCCACTGACACTCTGTTGCTTGACTTTAAAGACTGGCTCTGATGGGAAACACAGGTAAGGGCTGGCATACAGAGTTTGACTGGAATTGTGCAATACAGTTAAATATATTTGGAGAATTGTCTAAATTTGAATTCCACAGCTTCTGTCTAAACAGTGTTTTTATTATTATTTCATGCCCTCACCCCAGAATATAAGCTGTTGTCCCCTTACCAACCAGTCCGCCGCCTGAATAAGGAAACAACTTGCAAGAGAAAGTCCAGCTTTCTGCATCAATAAACCCTTTCAAGTTATTGTTGAAGACGTATTTTATAAAATGTGTTTGTAACATTTCTTTTTAAAAATTTAAGGTGATTTTATTCTTAACTATTGAGTTATTCCTGTTGCTGTTTAGTTGGTTTGTTTCAATCAACAACTTCTCTCAAGCTGAAAAATTAACTGCAGTTCCTCTAATGGCCACATGAGTATTGGCTCCCAGATACAGGAAGCATTAGACGTGCTCGTAGCTTCAGGTCTGAAAAATGAAGCCAATACAGAAGTGTAAACCTGCATTCTATCTAAAGACCACCAGATGGCGATAGCTGTGTTTGCAAAAAGGCTTCCTATAGAAGTCTATGTGAAAACAGCTTTCTAACTTGAGCACTCTAAACACTGTTGGTCATACTGTGTTTCAAATTGGAGGGCAAACTGCAGTCAAAGTGCTTTCTCATTAGCAAACGAGTCAATCATGAGTCATAGTTAGGGGTGTGGTCACTTTGATCAACAGGTATTTCAAGAGTTGTAGCTAGTTGCTTTCTACAAAGACCTCACACTCACTAATTCGAGTTACTAAATCATATTGGTGTTGTTGACCTCTTCCTAATCATTGGCCTTCAGCTCATCCAAAAAACCTTTCCTGAAATTTTTGCTGAGTGAAGTCCATTGTCCTTTTGCTCTGTTATCACTAGCTAAGTGCTAGCAATCAACCGCTGATAGCTAGTGCTAAGGTGGCCAAAACACAAGCAATGATGCTTCAAAATGCCAAGTCCAGACGTCAGTTGCTGACATCATGGTGGCATAATGCATGTTTGATTTTACCCAGTTTTATTCCAGCCTCTGTATTCATGCATGACCACATGCAAAACACTTTGTAATGCTGGGGTTTGATAAGCGCTATGCTAATAAACTTCATTTTTTGTTATTACTGTCGTTCCTGATGACATCAAACAGCATCATGCAAACAGCTAGCAGACTCTGAGAGGGTGAGAGGCAGGGAAATAGAGAAGTTGCCTCCAGTAGTATGTTAGGTGACAGCTGGACAACTGGAGACTGTGATTTCTGCTCTCTTACCCTGGAGCCGTAGTCTGGCATTATCAAGAGGGAAGAACGCTGTCATTGCAGGCACACTTCCCTAAAGGGGCAACAGTAAGAAATCCATGGCATGCCATTTTTTTTTCACATATGGAACAAACCCTTGAATGAACCCCATATAAAAATCGAGCAAGTTACAGGAACATACATGTAAACGGCTTAAAATGCACACTAGGATCTAAAATAAGACCTTTTATATATGATATATATAAAATGTCTTAAAACGTATATTATTCAGTATTCAGTTTGGCACGTTTAATAAGTTGCACGTACATACAGGTTGTTGTAAACACATTTACAGCTACATTATCTACTATTTATTGTTTTTGGTAAAGTTGGGAGTGGAAATTGTTATTTTGAACTGAGTTCTGTTTGGATATCTTTAAAGCATATAAGTAGTGACACTACAGCAACTCCCATTTGTGACTTTAAATTAAGCAGCGCATACTGAAACTAAGATCAACTTACCACTGCTCCTGAGACAGCATGAACCAAACTCTCATACGAGAAAACCTCGTTCATTGTCACCGCCAAATTGAGCCTGTTACATTCAATAATATTCAATATGCCTCGACAGCCAAATAATTATTATTACAGCCTCCCTTTCTCTTGCTAGCTGTTCTTGTTTGCCTCTCTCTAATAAACAGCTCGCTGCCTCATTTCAGAAATGCGCGATGGCTTTAGGTCCAACATTTATTGTATTTGTTTTAAATGTTATATACTTATGTGGTATGTGTATTTTGACTTTTGTTGCCATGATGCCAGGTCTCTCTTGGAAATGAGATTTTTGCTCTCGATGAGATGTTTTTACCTGAATAAATAAAGGACTAATAAACATTTAGATACAACATGTGGGTTTGGCTACAGAGCTTTATGCATCAGTTTCTCATACAGTCACTGACCACTTTATTAAGTGCTAGTACAGAGCTAGACACCTTCAGAACCTCGTTAACAGCTGCTTGTTTAAGTGAAAATATATTGATGATTTTTTTGCACTAATAAAGTTGAGGAGTTATAAAGTATTTTGTCTCATGTCAATTATATCGTCAGTTATATCGTTATCGCAAATTTTCAAATATATATCATGATAAATATTTTTGGTCATATCAACCTGCTCTAGAGACAACTGTTTATAAAATTTATAGTCATACTCAAAAGGTCTCATCAAGTCCATATTCGATTTATGCTGTTATCAGTGTTTGCAACAATACCATGGCTGTGGTGTCATATCAGTGTATGCTCTCGGTGTTTGCTGATATCAAACTGTGGTGTGAGGACCACTGTAGATAATCTTTGTAGTGATACTCAGAAGGTTTATCTTATAAAGTCCTTCTTTTGTTTTATTTAGATCTGGTTTAATTCTGGTATAGAACCAGTTGAATATTTGTATATAATCCCTGCAGCTGACTCTATAACAGGGGTCACCTGTCACCTCACCCATGATGCATTGAGTTTTTCCTTTCCAGTCACCTTTCTCACTCACTATGTATTAACAGACCTCTCTGTATTGAATCATATCTGTTATTAACCTCTGTCTCTCTTCCACAGCATGTCTTTATCCTGTCTTCCTTCTCTCACCCCAACCAATCACAGCAGATGGCCCCGCCCCTCCCTGAGCCTGGTTCTGCTGGAGGTTTCTTCCTGTTAAAAGGGAGTTTTTCCTTCCCACTGTCGCCAAAGTGCTGCTCATAGGGGGACATATGATTGTTGGGTTTTTCTCTGTATCTATGAAGCGCCTTGAGGCGACTTTTGTTGTGATTTGGCGCCATATGAATAAAATTGAATTGAATTGAACCAGCCGTTTTAAAACTGAGAGCTAGATCTGTGAACAGTTTGGTTCATCTTTAGTTATATGATAATAACAATTCTATCTTGATATGCTGTCTTATCACAGGTTAATTTTCAAAACAGGCCTGGGTCGTGTAGCAGCCAACAACTCCACAGAGGCTATCCTGGTGAGGGAGATGGCCCACTTCTCGGCAGAGGGAGCAGCGTCTTGGCAGCCAACAGAACATTTGAAGTCCCAGTGACTTCCCCACAACAGCTCTGAGCCACCCACAAACCTCGAAAGAGCGTTCCTGCCTTTTTAAACATTTTCTTAATAAATGGAGCTCTACTCCAAAATAAACTAACCTCTCTTTATTCTCTTTAATAACTGGCCTTCACTATGTTCCTATGCAGTAGTATATTTTTTCATTAGTATAATATGAAATCAATTCTACATGTGTCAAGTTGCCAGTATTTGCTGTGTAACTGAGACATTAGTCATTGCAAAAATGTATTTGAAATAATATTAAAATTCTCAAACATTAAACATAAATATATCAAATATATTTACAGAGAGACAGGAATAAGAATGGGGGGAAGAATTACATACATTTTAAAGACTAGCTTTAAACCCAGCTGTATTCATTCAAGACGTCAGATAAATATGTATTAAAGAGATAAAGAGTTGAATAGTTTCCTGCTGCTCTCCTATGGAGCTGCTGGGGACTTGAACACCACTATTTAGACACTGGTGTTTAATTATGTAATTAATTATTAAATAATTAGATAAATAATAATTAATTACTAATAATTTTGTAATGATTAATGATGTGTCCTGTCTCCCTCTCTTTCCCCTCACCCCCACCCGGCCTCAGCAGCTGGCTGCCCCTCCCTGAGCCTGGCTCTGCAGGAGGTTTCTTCCTGGATCCTTTTCCACCCCGACAGTCAGCTGACTGACTATATTTCTTTATTGCTAATGCTCATATTCTCAGGGTGTTCCCTCCTGCTCACTCCCCAGTATACACACTACTTTTGCTTTCTTCTCAGGTGTCGTTCTGTTTTCATCGTTCCAGGTCGTCTGTCTTCTCACCGTCCACCTGCACTTCCCTCCTCTGAATCAGCGGTTCGGTGTAACTGGAGACTCAAGCTTTGACTCGTGACCCAGTACTTCCTGCCATCCTGCAAGAGAGGGATATCCCTGCAAGCTGCCAGACCGACTGTCTGCAAAGAAATTTCCCAGATAGTTAAAGACCCGTTAAATTATGCAGACATGAAAACTGGGTATGCCAGATGTTTTATTTACCGTCATTGGAAAGCTGAGGCATATGTCTCAGTTTGATCCTGTTAGTTCTCTGTCATTTTACTTTAGTGGGAGAAACGAGGGTATGGATGTCTGAGTGAGGTAATAAAAGTTAATGTGTTTGTGTGTGTGTGTGTGTGTAATGCTTAGGTGGGAGGGAGTAACAAGGCGACAGAGCAGGGTCATAACACTTTAAACTGTGCTGCCAGCAAAGGGAGGAGTGTTCACTATTCACAGTTTAACTCCCTTGCTGTGAAATGTTTCAAGGTTAAATGTTTTGGACTTATTAGCTTTGGTCAGTCTTCCCTTACTCTAAACACCTCTAAGACTCTTTACCAGACTGTGGTTCAGACAGAGCGCTCAGGAGATGCAGAAGACCGACAGGAAGAAGCGAGTTCCAAGGACCAGCAGGAACCTCACAAAATCAGCTCCTCAGTGAGTAACAGACACAGTATCATGTCTGGAAAAGGTTTGCTTCAGTTCCTCCTGCATGCTCAAACAGACACCCA